GCATTGGAGAGGTGGGAACTTTTTTTCTTGCCTCCCTTTGTCGCCATTGTTGATTAAATACAGCATTTACAAAATATTTACAAAATAACTTACAGAAACTTATAAAATACAATACCCCAAACATTAGCACACATGAAAGACATCAAGAATGTCACTAATATCATGAAATATAATACTTGTTTACACATGCATGGAAGTGACAGTGCTTACACACGCGCAGAAGCAGCAACCATTGTCTTGATTGGGGAAGGGTTTGAATTCGGATTTTGTCTGTTGCATATGAAATCTGCTGAACCAAGGTTTGTAAAATCGAGGGTTTACTGTACATCTAAAAGTGCAGAAAATCAACTGAAAACTCTTTAGTAGCATTAAACAGAAGACAGTGCTTAGTTATAACTCACTGGAATAAAGCCCATTTGTTTTGTTTTTTAAAGTTCATACCACTCTTGCACAGTAGCAGCTATCTATAATTTTAATTAGTATAATCCTATTTATTAACTTTCTTGCACTCATAATGTTAAGGCTTTAAATACTGTTGCTAGAAGGTAGAATTCAGCTATTTTTTTTGTGTCCACTTACAGCTGCCTTGGATCAAAAGTTTTTATTTGCTTGGGGGGGAGGTAAGATAATGGAGATGTTTATTTATTCATTCATAAATATTTCAGTATTGTGCAATCCCCACAACTCTGACTGGTTTACAATAATAGTTCTATTACTATAATACTTATAATTTAATTTTACAATAATTAAAATATCATAAGCAGATAAATCAACACAATATACTGTATCAAAATAATAATATATCAGCGCAGTGAACCTGGCAGCCTGGTCATAAAAATACAGACATCAGTAACAGTCAACCTCCAAAGCCTGTTCAAATATCACTGCCTTAATGGCTTTGTGAAAAAACAAGGAAGAAAGTACCAGGTGTACCTCCAGAGACAGCATTCCTGAGCATCCTTTTCCTACACGATCAGATGGGCTGCACAAATAGGTGGCTCTAAGATATCCTGGAGGAAAGCCACATAGGGCTATAGGCCAAAACCAGCACTCTGAACTGGACTAAAAAAATCAATCAGCAAGCAATGCAGTAACTGAAGAATAGGAGTCATATTACACTAGCAGCTGGCACCTGCCGTATTCTGTACCAAAGGAAGTTTCACAGTAATTTTCAAAGCAAGGTCCCTGTAAATGCATACAGCAAGGTCTTTAGTTATTCTTACCAGGGCTTCATGGTCCAGATAGGTATGAAACTAGTGCACCAGTTTCAACTGGACAAAACCCCACCTGGCCATGGCCTTTATATGTTGTTTCAGTAGGAGCCATGAATCTAGGAGGACCCCCAAGTTGCAGATCTGCTCCTTCAGGGGGAGATAACCCCATCAAGAGCTAATCTTGGGGATGTCTATATCTGGTTCAGATATAGATCTATATCAACCTATATTCTGGGTTGGCGATGTACAACTGGGTCTTATCAGCATACTGACAGTACCTAAGTTCAGACTCATGATGATCTTTCCCAGCAGCTTCATATAGATGCTGTTTCATAGTGGGAAGAAGAGTCAAACCCTGAAGTACCACACATATGAGTAACCAGAGGCTCCACTGCTCCTCCTCCATTACTCCCAACTAGAACTGTCCACTAAAGTAGGAATCTTGCAAAACAATACTTCCTTTTCCCAAGTCCTGCCAAAAGCAATTGACTAAAATGACTATTTTTGTCCACTCCTGAATCCAGGTAAAAAAGCATCTGGATAATCCACTTCATCCAGGATTCTCTGAAGCTGAGTCTGCCTCTGTCCTTTACCTTTTCTACAACTTTCCTTAAAAGGGGAAAGTTGGAAACAGAGCAGTAGTTGCTCAATGCAGCTGGACTGAGAAATGTGTTCTTCAAGAGAGGGCACACCACTTCCTCCTTCAAAAGAAGTGGCACCTCTCTCTCAAAAAATAGCTAAGAAAGTATAGTTACTACATGTGCTGTTGTTTTATACCATGCTTTGTATTGTTTTGCCTGCTGTAAGCTGCCCAGAGTTGACATGTGAGATGGGCAGCTATATAAATAAAATTAATTAATAAAAAAAAACACGCTTGAAAATTTTTCTCTAAAAAGGATTTCTCATCACCCACTGCAGATGACACAAAGCTTCATTCATCCTAATGAACTGGCCACAAAGAACCCTGAGAAATAAATAAATAAATAAATAAATAAATAAATAAATAAGCAAGCAAGCAAGCAAGCAAGCA